GTTGCTTGATTTGAAATATATAGGACATGATGCTAAGTTGTCACTAATAGTTAGTTGGACAATGTGTTGTGTACGGACTTCCCAAATTATTCTCAGATTGCGGACATGTCTAGCAACAAAGTAGTAATTTTCATGTCGCAAATACTTTTTTCATGAAATAATTCAATAAATAAAAACATATGAAAATAATATTACTTGAAATATATGTTACTCATTAAGTTGATGAATGAGCGAGGGTATAAGTAGCATACATTTATTTTAAAAAGATAGAAGTTGCAAAGTGTCTTTTGGGTTGCATGAGATCACATATTCTCATTATCGCTAACTGACTTATGTTTTATTTTTTGCAATAGATAGTTCAAAATGTGCTTTAAGACTTTTGCTTCCACTAGTGTAAAAGAATTGTTTGAACCAAAGGATTGTAAAATCGTATAAAAAAAGTTGGTAGTAGAGTATTTTATACTAAAGTCATAATTTAACTGTGGTTCAACCGTTTCATATTATCACCTATCGATTTAGCCTATGATGTGAAATTTTATGGTCTAACCGCCGGTACGTACGATCTTTCAGTACAAACTTTAAATAAAAACCCACTAAAATATTAACTTATCAAATATCTCTTAAATATTAGAAATTACAATAATAGTATTAAGGAAAATATTCCAAATGATAATATTGATTTAGTATTTTAAATTGAAATGAAAAAAAAATATGTCAAATATAATGTCATCTCCTAAAATAAATCAAAACTCAACAGAATAGGGCCAAAAATATCCACTAATCAAAGCAGAAGGACAATTATTTCACACTACCTAATTTTCCACCTCTTTTAAATTTCCTCTCACTCTCTCTTTGCCTTCCTCTCTTGTTTTTTCCATTTGTTCTTCCATCTCTCTCATCTTTGTATCTCACAACTCACCCCCTTTTCCCTTCATCTTTCTTCCCACCGCTTGGAATCGAGAGAAACCTATAAACATCCCAAATATTTCTCAAATTTACGTTCGAAATGCTTCTTCTCGATTCACAATCAATAGTGTGAATCAGAGCACCTGAAACCTGGGGAATGATCGTCGCTTATTCATCGACGGAGCAAATTAGCTTGATAGTTTGTGAATAAACTAATTATTAAAAGTGATAAAAAGCAGAACTCGTTAAACCAATCGAGTGAGTGTATAGTTAACTCATCGCTTAAAGCCTTAAACCATTGTATTTATCTAAAGAATCAAAATGCATAACCATGTTCATCTTCACTTTACATGCATTTATCGTGCAAATTCATTACACATAAAAAAGGATTTTGAACTAAAGCCATATTAAACTAAATCTCATCTTATGATTATTGAATCCATGTCAGATTAGCAAAAGGTCTAAGGCTATTGGTCAACCGGAGTAAAAAATTAATAGTAATTTAAGAATTATATATCGCTCTCAAAATGTTCAATACTTCAATTCAATATGCAATATTCAATGAAATTATATATGAGTTTCAACCATTGCTCAAATTCTTTTGACAAAAATCCCCCCCCCCCCCACACACACACACATTTGCAAAGAAATACTAAATCTCAATTTCTTTTTCACTTTACTTGTTTCTAAAGTTATTGTTGATGTTGTTTGTTATTACCGCAAGTTGTAAAAAAGACTTTTCAGCTATGAAGTTAATCCAGAATGATTTTATAAATGAATTTTTAGTTGTTTGAAAAAAGTTTGAATCTCAAAATAAACAATAAATTTTATTTTATAAACCTTTTAGAATATGAGCCGTCACACGTTGATGTGAGAAACTACTAATTAATACAAATTTTAAACGTTATTTTTTTAATATTTTGTTTTATTATTTATCAAATGACGCATTTCCCCATAAAACATGTGTTCACTGATATAGGATGTGTGGTGCTTACACTCGTGCGAGAACCCTTGAAGTTTAAGTCTGGTACGACGCATGAAGCATTCATGCTTGTACATAACCGATCCATATACATTGTTTTCGTGGTATGCTCTAACTGTGTCGTGCTAGCTCGAACATGTGTCTAGGTATAGTTATATGCATTATAATAATTAAGTTTCTACTTATTCACAACACCAAGATAAAAACAGTCATAAATGCACTCAGTATACGATTTTGTCTACCTGATGAAATATCATATTTGAATAAATTACAATTGATGTCACAAATAATAATTATACCTCTAAATCATACATAAAATATTTCAAACATCGCAAATATTAAGATTAAATGAATTATTATAAAGAGTAAAAATTTTATAATGAGGTTAAGTATAACTCATTTATATGTTCATGCCCTATAAATCGATCAACACATTCGATCCAAAACTAACGAAACGAACATCACATTAAACTCGATATCGTCTTATTATTGTCAGGTTCATTCACCCGATTAGCAAGAGTTTAACGTTTAGCAGCTAACCAGGCTAAAATTTAAGAGAACCAGTCACCTATAGTTTGTACAAAATATTATTGTTTTGTATTAGTTCTAAAAATGTATATTAATTTAAAGAATTCTACATCGCTTTGCATATTCAATACTGCAGTTCGATATGCAATATTTCAAGCAATAAAATTTATGTTTCAATTTTAAGATTACCGTCATTTTATAGGTTAAAAAAATTATAAATCACATATTAAACTTTGCTTTTCAGAAGATTTAATAAGCTAGCTAACCGTGAAAAGTCTCGTGCTTTTCAAATCTTCACTTAGTGCATGTTTACAATTTATGAAGATAAAACAGATTTGTTTAGTGTAATTGGTTGTGATTATTTTTTGTTTATTTGAAGAGACCATGGTTCAAATCTTAATATTGATACTTTTTCATATGAAGTAGATAATAATTGTGATAACAAAAATACTCTTCCTACTTTCACTCTCGCTTCACGAAATTTGAAATAGAAAATCTTAAAACATTGAATATATCTTATAGAAAGAGCTTCTTCAACCAAGTAGGAAAGATATTTTACCTGAAATTATTATATCTTATAGAGAGTGATTAATTGTGAAATCGGAACTCAAGTAACATTGATTCAAACATTAATAATAAATTGTATGTGTTGTTCAGTTTAGACAAATACATATGTGTAGCCTAAACATGGATCTTTGTGACAAATATAGTTATTTTTTGTCACAAATTTATATATAATATAAAGAAAATATACATAATATAAAGATAAATTGGCCACTTTGTCGAAAAAGAGAATCACTCTCAGACCAAGAAATTTGAAATGAGACTCTAATATCCAATTTTATCATTATATTATGGTAGATTTGTCACAAAAATGATTATACTCGTCACAAAGGTCCATGTTTTGGTTAACTTCTTTATTTTGTCTGAACTAAACAACACATACAATTTAGGGTAAATACAATATATTAGCCACAACTATTCGAAGCGGAAAATTATAGCCACAACTATGGAAATTCAAATCATCTTAGCCAAACGTTAACTCTCTGTTAACAATTTCGTTAATAATGCTGACTAAACTTTTATGTTTTAAAGTTATAAATTAAGAGCAGTCCGACGTGGTTGTTGTCGTAGTCGATGACGTCGCCTTCTCCGTTAAAAATTCAATAATAGTAACGGACAGTTAGCCATATCTTGACTCACAACAATAATTATGGCTAATAATTTGAATTTAGGGTAAATACTATTTTTTAGCCAAACCTTTTCCCCATTCCAAATTAATAGCCAAACCTTTCGAAATCTTAGTAATTAGCCAACCATTAAATCTCCGTTAATAATTCCGTCAAATGACGATGAGCTGGTGAATATTGTACTGATTTGGATCTTAGGTGGCTAACTGAAGTGTAGGAAAGATTGCAATGATGGACTGGTGGTGATGATTATCCGCATATGCGCCACAAAGTTTGGCTATTATTATTTCTTGGGTAATGTCTATTTTTTATCCAAATCTTTTTCAAATTCTTTTATATTATCCAAACCTATTAAAATGCTATTAACTAGCTAAATCTTTTGTAATGCATAAAAAATTAGCCATTTTTACGTTATCATTAATAATTTTGTAACTCTTTTCTTATTAAAATACTAAAATTTTATAATGTTGACTTTCATGTGTCTCCTTCAAGTCAGTATCATGTTGCCAAGTCATTATTACTAACAAAATTGCTAACTGAAAGTTAACATTTGGCTAATTTTTGGTATTTCGATATGTTTGGATAATATAAAAGAATCTTAAACAGGTTTGGATAAAAAATAGACATTACCCTTATTTCTTTTATTGTTTTCTATGTAAATGATAAGTAAAAATATATTAATGTGGATGCTGAGGCGGAGTGTTGGTTAACGGTGTTATTAACGGTTACATATGAGTGGCTAAAATTTTAGACATGTTTAAAAGGTTTGGCTATTATTTTGAAATGGGAAAAAGATTTGGGTAAAAAATAGTATTTATCATTGAATTTACATAGTTGTGGCTGTAATTCCCCGCTTCATAATAGTTATGGCTAATATATTGTATGTACCCTACAATTTAATATTAATGTTGAATCAATACTACTTGAGTTCCGATTTCAAAACTAATTTCTTTCTATAAAATATAAATAGCTTAAGATAAAAGATAAATATAGAAACATCATCACCAAACATATTCCTATAGTTCAATAAAAAAAACAATAAATGAAATGTAGCCTAGTTGATTATCATGCTCTTTTTTCATTCAAGTGACCAAGATTTGAACTTTAATGATAATATTTTTAATAGGGTTAATTGCATTGTTGGTCACTGAGATTATAAAAAACGTTCATGTTTGGTCACTCGAAATATTTAAATCCATTCATGGTCACTACATTTAGTTAAACTATCCAAATTTAGTCACTTTCCGTCCAACTCCGTTAACTTTGGCTGATGTGGCAGTCAACTCTCATAGTTGACCGTTAAATCTGTGATGTGGCAATTAAACATTAATAAAAAATTAATTTTAAACATTCCACCTCATTATCACTACTATTAAAATTAAAAATTATTAATTTTAAATAACTAATGAACTAATCTCACCCCTCTTTCTCACAGTAGAGAGAGCTCTGTCGGCCAAATCTATTCTGTATCGTCTTCCTCCTCCCAACGTGTTTGTCGGAATCGACCCCACCAGCCCGACACCAAGGAGGCGGAGGGAGTGGATAGAGGACTGATTCCCGTCGCACTCGATTCCAACCCAGCTGCAAACTGAGGAATTGTTGGTGCTCCATTGGAGACGATTCTCTTGTTGGACCTGTGAGGGGAAAGAGAGGAGAGCTTGCTTCTCCTCCTCCGGCGGCTCCGCCGTCACACTCGCCACCAGCAGCGATGCCAAGAGAAGCCACGCGAGAAGCGCAGAACCAGAATCGAAAACCCCCGCCATTGATGCGCCTAGATGGAAAAACGGAAGGAAGAAGCAATTCCAAAAAAATAAAATTAACACCGACGGGAGCTGAGGTAGCTGTCAAGCCATGCGGGTCACTCTGTCGGCGGCTACTGTTGAAGATAAAAGGGAGAGGGGATTGGCACAGGGGACGCTACTTTCTGATGCGATTGCCGCACCGTCGAACCCTACCCACTCGTCTGCGGGACCTATCGCGTCCCTTTCCTCCTCGACCTCCCGGCGCCGCCGGCTCCGACCGAGTCGTCGATGAGCTGTACGCCGTCGCGGCCACTACGAGCGGCTCCCGATCAAAGTGGAGCCCATTGACGACAGCGGAGGAGAGGAAACCCTCGCCTTTGTGGATGCTTATTTCGCGGAGAGAAGCTATACGGAGGAGATGTGGGAGAGGTGCGGGAAGAGAGGGTATTGGCTATACGGCGAGGAAGAGGCGAGGGGTTATGTGAGGAGGAAAGATCAGCCCCAGAATTGGAGCTTTTTGCAGCAGATTCAGTTGTTCGTGTCTTCTTCTTCTTCCAGTTCTCCCGACGACGGCGAACTCTGACTGGCCGACAATCTCTGTAGATTGACCTGTACGAATTAATAAAAAAACTACCTCTTAGGGATTCGGCCGACACGCGGGTGAGATTAGTTCATTAGTTATTTAAAATGAATAATTTTTAATTTTTTAATAGTAGTGATAATGAGGTGGAATATTTAAAATTAATTTTTTATTAAATTTTAATTGTCACGTCACAGAGTTAACGGTCAATTATGAGAGTTGACTGCCACATCAGCCAAAGTTAACGGAATTGGACGGAGAGTGACCAAATTTGGATTGTTTTACTAAATGTAGTGACCATGAATAGATTTAAATATTTCGAGTGACCAAACACGAACGTTTTTTGTAATCTCAGTAACCAACAATGCAATTAACCCATTTTTAATGGGCATTGCTATTCATCGCCCTAAAATTCCTTATTCGTCGCCCTAATTAAATTATATTTACTTCAATGCCCTTAGTTCATTTATTTGTCTTTCAAGCACTTAAACGCCAAATTAAACTCAAATACTACACCAAATAACAAAATTCAAAATAGAAACAACAAAGAAGAAGAAAACCAATCATTCAACGAAAAAGAATCAAACAATCTGTCACACCCGGTTCTTGAAATTCCCAATTTTCAACGAGTGATTAGTCATGAATGGTAATTATAACATGAAAACGTTAACCTAATAAACCCTCTAATCGAAACGAGAAGCCACCACCACTTCCCTGCTCTCATCACCAATACGTCTTTCCTTAGAGGATCTCCGCAGCAGCAGCAGCCAAGAGCAGCGGCGGACTGAGTTAGCAGCACATATCGAGAGTTTGATGACGTAGTATCGACGACGGCGGATTTGAATTGGGGTGAGGAAGGGACTAGGGATTGTTTGGTTAGGGTCTAGATATGAAATTGGGTATAAGGATAAATATGTCAATTTGTTGCATTTTAGGGCGACGAATAGCAATTCAGTTTTTAATATATAAAATGAACTAGTTGCAATGACAAAAAGAACTTTCCTATAATATGTTTTGCCATTATATATTTTGGGGACGAGATACGGTGACAACCCCTAAGGGGGTTGTCAGATTCACAACCCCCTTCATAGCCCTTGGATACGCTCTCTCTCCTGTCTTTTTTTTTTTTAAATTAACGGTTAAGATTCAAGGAAGGATATTTTTGGAAGGGTAAAAATTTACCACACCCAATCATTCACCCTACCATATAAAAAGAACAAAAACCCTAACTCCTCCATCATCCCTCTCTCTCTCCTCCCTCTCTCCCGTAGACATCACCGTCTCTCCTCCCCCTCTCTCCGCCACCACAGCCCTCCCACCACCTCGCCTGCTGTCCCCGCCGCTCCTGCCGCGCCGCTGTCCTCCCCCGCCGCGCCGCTGTCCTCCCCCCGCGCCGCTGTCCTCCCCTGCCGCCACCATTTTTATGCTGCCGCCGCCACGAGGTCAAGACTCTTCCCTGCTTCCCTCTTTCCTCATCCCTATTTTTTCCAGATCTGATAGTCTCTACTGGTACCAATACCACTTGATGCGGCATCAGTTAACCGCCTATCTAAAATATATATATCTATATCTCCTATCTAATCCTCTGTATCCCTATGTCAGTTATGACAGTTACTTGTTTTAAGGGGGTGAAGGGGTGTGTCCCTTCATCTTTTCCCTCACTGTTTCGGTTATTCCTGTAACTTGTATATAAAACAAGTCAGGAATGACAGAAGGGCAAAGATATATGAATAAAGAACAAAGTTAAAGAAATATTTCTGTTTGTTTCCCTTTCTATTGAACTAACGTTCATTCGTCCGTTCGTACGATAACGAACATAATCTTTCGGTGGTCTGTCCTACATCAGGTTGGTATAATGATGCGGCATCAGTTAACCGCCTATCTAAAATATATATATCTATATCACCTATCTAATCCTCTGTATCCCTATGTCAGTTATGACAGTTACTTGTTTTAAGGGGGTGAAGGGGTGTGTCCCTTCATCTTTTCCCTCACTGTTTCGGTTATTCCTGTAACTTGTATATAAAACAAGTCAGGAATGACAGAAGGGCAGAGATATATGAATAAAGAACAAAGTTAAAGAAATATTTCTGTTTGTTTCCCTTTCTATTGAACTAACGTTCATTCGTCCGTTCGTACGATAACGAACATAATCTTTCGGTGGTCTGTCCTACATCAGGTTGGTATCAGAGCAAAGGTTTCTGCAACTTTTCTACAAGTTGCAATCCATTTGTTTCTGCTGCAAACAATTAGAGGACGATGGCCGCTGAAAACGAACGCCTCGACAACTTGGAACAACAAGTTGCCGGTATCACTCAATCCCTACAACAAATACTAGCCGCCTTACTTGTTGAAGATCAGCCCCATAATCACAGGGTTCTCAACCCACAGCCGCACCGGGAAGATCGCGATTGGTACCGAATCAAGGCCGAAATCCCAATCTTTAGTGGTAGCCTGGAGATTGAGCCTTTTCTCGATTGGCTTAATGAAGTTGAACGTTTTTTCGAAATTATGGAGATTAGCGATGAAAGGAAGGTGTCGATTGTCGCATACAAGTTACGAGGGGGAGCAGGAGCATGGTGGCAGAATATAAGGGAAGAACGCTACCGTCTTCGTCAACAACCAGTTCGAGAGTGGCCGCTGATGAAAGAACTTCTTCAACAACGATTTCTTCCTCGGGATTATACTCAGAATCTGTACCGCCAATTGCTTGATTGTCAACAAGGGAGTCGTTCCGTCTCTGACTATACGGAAGAATTCCTGCGTTTGACAGCTCGATGCAATATTCAAGAAGACGATGACCTACAAGTTGCTCGTTATATTAGGGGGCTGAAAATTGAGATTCAGGACCACATTGGTGTTCAGGCAGTCATGTCCCTAATGGATGCTCGAGAGATGGCGGCACGAGCAGAGGCGCGTCTGATTCCACAGCAACCTCTCTTGACATATCCCCGACGAAACCATCGAGAATCTCCTTTGCCTCGACCATCTGAAACCAGTTCTTCGCGTGTCACTGCTGCCCACCAAACAACAGCACCACACATGGAAAGCAGGCGCTTTCCAGCCGCTGCCGCTCAAGTGCCAACAGCCCCTGGAACTGCTCCTCGCCCCAACAATCAAAATCCCTACCAACATCCAACGACAGGGAGGTGTTACCGATGCAATCAGCCTGGGCATAAGTCCAATGAGTGCCCCAATCGAAAGCCAGTGCACGTGGTGGGTAACCTGTCTGAAGATAACTCCAATGATGTTGAGGACCCAGAACCTGAATATGATGTTGATGACATATGCGGAGATGAACATGAAGAGGCCACCTATGTCATTCAACGGACACTTTGCTCTTCACCACAAGAAGATGCCAGCCAACGCAAACGGATCTTCCAAGCAAAGTGCCGAGTTGCTACTCAAATATGCAGCCTAATTATTGACAGTTGCAGCTGCGAAAACTTGGTCTCTCGAAAACTAGTTGAAGAGCTCCAACTTCCAGTAGAAGACCATCCCACTCCATATCAAATTGGATGGATTCAAAAGGGGCCAAAAATGATGGTGAAGCAAAGATGCAAAATTCCTCTAGCCATGGGGAAGTTCTATTCTGATAACATATTCTGTGACATTGTTGATATGGATGTTTGTCAGGTTTTATTAGGAAGACCTTGGCAATACGACGTGGATGCGATGCACCGAGGCCGAGAGAACACATACACATTCCAATGGCAGCAGAAAACAATAGTTGTCGCACCATTGGGCAGTCCTAAGCTTTCATCTAAAGTGGAAGGGCAGATCTTCTTATCATTGATAGAATCAAGTAACTTTTCTACTTCTGAAGTAAGAAGCTGTGGAGGTGTGTATGGGCTGGTTATTAAACCTGATTACGGAGAAGCAACAATGCCGGAATCTGTTCGAGAAATGTTGGCTGAGTTCCCCCAACTCATTTCTGAACCCACTCGGCTGCCGCCTTTACGAGATATCCAGCATCACATTGATTTTGTGCCTGGCGCTCGACTACCCAATCTACCTCATTACCGGCTTAATCCCGAAGAAGCAAAAATACTTCAGGAGAAAGTTGAAGCATTGTTACAGCTTGGACACGTTCGAGAAAGTTTAAGTCCTTGTGCTGTACCAGCATTACTAGTGCCAAAGAAGGGGAACCAGTGGAGAATGTGTGTGGATAGTAGGGCCATCAACTGAATCACGGTGCAATATCGATTTCCTATTCCTCGATTGGATGACATGTTGGACCAACTATCGGGATCGGTAATTTTCACAAAACTGGACTTGACAAGTGGGTATCACCAAATTCGCATCCGTCCGGGGGACGAGTGGAAGACCGCCTTCAAGACCAAAGAAGGATTATACGAGTGGCTTGTGATGCCTTTTGGTCTCTCCAACGCACCCAGCACATTTATGCGGCTTATGAATCAGGTGCTTAAACCCTTCCTCAACAAATTCGTTGTTGTGTATTTTGATGATATTCTGATTTACAGTAGCAGTGAAGAAGCACATGAAGGCCATTTGCGTAAAGTTTTGTTGACACTTCATGAGAATGAGTTGTATATTAATCTCAAGAAATGTCACTTCATGATGGAGCAAGTGCTGTTTTTGGGATATATAATCAGTGCAAATGGAGTACGTGTGGATCCACAAAAGATTCAAGCCATTGTTGACTGGCCAACACCTTCAACCATCACTGAGATAAGAAGCTTTCATGGTTTGGCCACATTCTACCGTCGTTTCATCCGTAATTTCAGCAGTATAGTTGCTCCTATTACCGATTGCTTGAAGCAAGCTCGTCCTTTTCAATGGACGTCTGCTGCTGCCCGTGCTTTTGCAGAGATCAAACAACGCCTCACTTCTGCCCCGGTTCTCGCCTTGCCTAACTTTGATAAGGTGTTCGAGGTAGAATGTGATGCATGCGGAGTAGGTGTCGGTGGAGTGTTGTCACAAGAGGGCCGTCCGGTGGCTTATTTCAGCGAGAAGCTCAATGAAACAAGGGTGAATTGGGCAACCTATGATCAAGAACTGTTTGCTGTATTCCGGGCCTTCAAGCATTGGGAGCATTACCTTCTCCCTAAAGAGTTTGTCATTTACACCGATCATCAAGCTTTGATTCACTTTAGAACTCAACGAACTTTGAAAAATAAACTTCATATTCGTTGGGCAGCATACTTTGGACAGTTTAATTACGTGATTAAACACAAATCTGGATCTTCAAACAAGGTTGCTGATGCCTTGAGTCGACGGGGAAACATTCTTCTCACCACCAGCCATGAAGTTGTTGGATTTAGTTTCCTTCCTGAACTCTATGTCGACGATCCAGATTTTGGCACCACTTGGTCTAAGTACATGGAGAAGCAGCCCCTTGGAGATTTTACAGTGCAAGAAGGCTATCTCTTTAAAGGCAATCGGTTGTGTATCCCTCGAACCTCGTTGCGTGAAAAGTTCGTCAGGGAACTCCACGCCGGGAAACTTCAAGGCCATTTGGGACGTGACAAGACAATTGCTCGATTGGAAGAACGGTATTATTGGCCACAGTTGAAAAGAGATGCTGGTCGGGTTGTTCGCCAATGCTCTATTTGTCAAACCCAAAAGGGTCATCTTCAGAATACCGGCCTATACATGCCGCTAGCAATTCCTGATCAGCCGTGGGAAGATTTGTCAATGGACTTAATTCTGGGATTACCTCGCACTCAACGAGGAGCCGATTCCATCTTTGCTGTGGTGGATCGCTTCTCCAAGATGGCTCACTTCCTTCCCTGTAAACAGACCAACAACGCACCGCATATCGCAAAGCTATTTTTCCAAGAAATAGTTCGCCTTCATGGGATTCCTCGATCCATCACTTCTGATCGCGATCCCAAGTTTTTGGCTGTGTTTTGGTCTACCTTATGGAAGAGATTTGGCACCGAATTGAAGTTCAGCATCACTGCCCATCCACAAACAGATGGTCAAACAGAAGTTGTGAATCGAACCTTGGGTAACTTGCTACGGTGTTTGTGTGTTGAAAACCAACGACAATGGGATTTTGCATTGGCTCAAGCAGAGTTCGCCTACAATAGTGCCCCACACGAGCCACCGAGATGGCTCCATTTGCTGTAGTTTATCGACGCATCCCTGCAACTACTCTTGATCTCATCAAGCTGCCCAACGGCTTGAAAAACAGTGACGCCGCTGATCTGTTTGCTCAGTCCCATGTAGATATCATTGCACAAGTGAAGCAGAAGTTAGAACACACAACTGCTCGTTACAAGCTTGCTGCTGATCGTCATCGTCGTCGTGCTAAAACTTATCAAGTGGGAGACTTGGTGATGGTCTATCTACGCAAAGAGCGCGGTGGAAGTCAGCATAAGTTAGACCCGCGGAAGATTGGACCTTTCAAAGTTCTCCGGAAGATTAATGATAATGCCTATGTCCTTGACCTCCCTGCTCATATGCGCATCTCCAGCACCTTCAATGTTGCAGATCTGTCTCCTTACTACTCTGCTGATCAATCCGAGACGGTTTGAGCTCAAGTGGAAGGGAATGATGCGGCATCAGTTAACCGCCTATCTAAAATATATATATCTATATCTACTATCTAATCCTCTGTATCCCTATGTCAGTTATGACAGTTACTTGTTTTAAGGGGGTGAAGGGGTGTGTCCCTTCATCTTTTCCCTCACTGTTTCGGTTATTCCTGTAACTTGTATATAAAACAAGTCAGGAATGACAGAAGGGCAGAGATATATGAATAAAGAACAAAGTTAAAGAAATATTTCTGTTTGTTTCCCTTTCTATTGAACTAACGTTCATTCGTCCGTTCGTACGATAACGAACATAATCTTTCGGTGGTCTGTCCTACATCGGGGGGAGGACAGCGGCGCGGTGGTACGCTACCACTACTCACTGGTACCAATACCAGTGGCTCCCCTATCATCTGGTACCACTATCATCTGTTTTTTTTTTTGTGTTATTCTCTACTGGTATCGCTACCAATGCTAGTGGTAGCGCTACCAGTGCTAGTAGCGTACCACTAGTATTGGTACATTTTTTACTGGTACCGCTAGTACTGATACTTTTTTAACGTACTGGTAGCGTACCACTAGCACTGGTATATTAGTTACCAGTAGACTAATAGATTGATACACTTTTTAACGCATTGGTACATTTTTCAGGTTGCCGGAGGGAGTCTGCCGGAGAGAATTCGCCGGAGAAAAAGTTTGTCGGTCGATGCGGAGTGGCTGCTGGAGAAAGGAAGAGAGAGAGATAGATAGAGATATTAACGTATAGGATTTAAATTTCAAAAAAAATTGTATTTAATATGGATTTTTAATTTCCAATATAATTAATACATAAGAGGTAATTAATATATTTCTTTTTTTCATACCCAAAATACCCTTAGTTGTGAATCCGACCGTATAGTAGAGATATTTTTTTTTAGATGTACTGTCTCCTTGGTAAAAAGGCGGGAACGCAAGGGTCGTGCGCGTGTTGCGTCACTGACTCACTGTCCACTTTCTTTGCATTCGTAGTTCTTAGTTTCCCGGCTATTGCTCGTTCGGGTTCATTTCATTAGGGTTTAGGCAAGCGGAAAAATAAGGAGAGCAAAGTGTGGACTCTGAAACAGTTTTCCAAATGGAGAGTTTGCTCAAGGTAAGGATTTCGTATTCTGGTGCTCTTTTACCCTTTCCTTTACTCGGATTGCTATTCTTTTCTCGCACGACATCGTAATTCGGGCGGAGGGGAATTCTGATTCGGCAACCGGAAACACTTTCTTATTGCCTGGTGTTTCGTCTTGCAGAAATATTTTGGGTATTCTGAGTTCCGGCCGTATCAGAAGGAGGTCATAAACAATATTCTGCAGAAGAGGGATTGCTTGGCGGTAATGGCCACGGGCAGCGGAAAGTCCTTGTGGTAAGCCGGTGTTTTTTTTCTTTCTTCATGTTTCCTCTTTTATTGCTTTCCCGTCTGAGTTTGAATAGTTCACCACATCTGCAGTTACCAGCTTCCTCCGTTGCTGGTTGATAAGACTGCCATTGTTGTAAGCCCTCTTATATCTCTCATGCAAGATCAGGTAATTGCTCTCTCTTTATATGTCGGTACTCCGCCTTTTCCGCTTTATATTTTATACCTTTGGCTTAGCCCTTTTACTTGGGCCTTCTTCCTGATGTTCCATAGTCAATTGCAGGTAATGAGTTTGAAGCAGCAGGGTATCAGAGCTGAGTACCTTGGAAGTGCCCAGACCGACCAATCTGTGAATGCTCGAGCACAAAAGGGGGAATATCGTTTGCTGTTCATGACCCCTGAAAAGGCTTGCTCCATTTCTCACAGGTATTGTATAGCTCCAATGTGTCGAGCCTCTTATGTTATCATCTCTCTTTTCCTGTACTGCAGTCAATTGAGCTTTGCACCCACACATGTATCTTTTGCTCCTCTATCTTTTCTTCATTGTTGAGAAGACAACCTCGTTAACATCTTGGCAATTTCATATCAATTTGATGGTAGATGTATATTTCACTTATCTTGCAACCTACAATAGTCTTCATCCCATTAGCTTGTCTAGTTGATGTGGAGTAGCACAATTGCCTGCTCTTCTACCTTTCTCACATGGTTTTACTGATGAAGATGTTGATGATCTGCTTTAGTCGCCTTTTAGTTTTGACATCTAATATATGAGCTTTAGTGATTAGTGCCTACTCTTATTGCTCTTCTTATTGTCCATGTCATGTAGCTTCTGGTCGAAGTTACTACAGGCAGGAATTTGTCTCTTTGCTGTGGACGAAGCACATTGCATATCAGAATGGGGGCATGACTTCAGGTAATTTCTTTTTGTTTATTTTATATAGATGACTTCAGGTATAAATTACACCCGGGCAAAATCTTTCTTGTAGTATTCACTAAAAGCCATAATCTTAGGGGCAGGTGCATGCTACAATGACCTTAAACAGGAAGACCCATGAATGGATTTTGCACTCATTCTTTTGGCTCATGCATTAAGCATGTTTTCTGTATGTTCCTTGTTCGTTTTATTTATTTCTAGTTTACTATTCATGACAGTATTCCCTGCATATCTAGAATCATTTTTTTTTTGGTTGAATATATCTAGAATTATTGATGATACAGTGGTGGGATTGGAATGACATAATCTCATATTGGCTCTCAGCTTTTACCATTTGCAAAATAGTGCCCTTTGAATTTGCATGCCTTGATAATTGATGCTGGGCGGTGTTAGAGTTATTTGTTTTGCTATCTTACTTGCATTTTTAAACCGGAACAAGCAGCATTGACGTTCCAGTGAGCACACTAGGAAAATTAATCTGGCTGATGCATTAAGCATATTTTCTATATGTTCCTTGTTTGTATTATATATGGTTCATGTTTGGTAACATTATTTGCTGTTGCGTGTGTTGCTGCTTAGTTTGCATCTTTTTTTGCACTTGTCTTCTTCAGGGTGATGGTCACTGTAGCTGACTTATTTTTTTTTTTTTTGTGAAAGCAGTCACTTCTAGTTGGCTATTCATGACCATATTCCATCTATATCTTGAATCATTGATGATACAGTGGTGGTATTTGGAATGGCATAGTGTCATATTGGTTCTCAGCTTTTACCATTTGCAAAATAGTGGCCTTTGAATATGCTTGCCTTGATAATTGATGCCGAGAGGTGTTAGAGTTATTTGTTTGGTGATCTTACTTGCATTTTTAAAACCGAGACAAGCAGCATTGAGGTTCCATTGAGGACACTAGGAAAATAAATCAGGTAAAAATGTTGTCAAGAAGTTAATGTTGGTTTAGGGTCCTGGAACAGAAAATTGATGAGAGAGAAAGAGTTTGAGCAAGTTGATTGATTCTATAGGGGAAGGAATATGTGCAAACTTTAGCAAGTTCATTTTATGTCTAGCTTTTTTTTTTGGATATGCTACAATTTCATTGAACATGACCTTTATTATCTGTGAATCTGTGTCGATTGACTTGATAGGCTGATCTTGGTGGCTGGGATCATTCTCCTGTCTTTTTAATTCGTAAAATGTCACAAGTTATCTTGGAAGCCTTTTGGCATCCTTCTGAATACCTTATTGTTCATGTGATCTTGTGGAATTTTTTAGATGTTCTTAGAGGATTCTCACTTACCCATTCTTTCTTTAAACGAGGGGCATGATGGGATGTTATTCTAATTCTGCATTTGATAGTGGATTGACTGATTTTTTTTTCTTAACATCAGACTTCACTCGTTACATCAGTAAATTGCAGCTCTTGTCTTTCGTTTCTGCTTAGCGTGGTTACAATTATGTTTCTTGATGGAACGTGTGTGTGAGTGTGTGTGTGGGGGGGGGGGGGGGGGGGGGGGGGGGGGTTCTATGAAACGATTCCTGGATACTCGTCTTAAAACTATTAAATTATTGTGACCTCTGATACACTTGGGATTCCTGTTGTACATTTGAATAAAAAGAAAAGTTGCCTTTTCTCGTCATAAGTAGCTTGAAATATTTTCATAACTTCCTTGATTCTTGATAACATTAGTTTCTCCTGGTTTCACAGGGTGGAATACAAACAGCTAGACAAGTTACGTGCTATTCTCTTGGACGTTCCATTTATTGGCTTAACTGCAACAGCTACTGAGAAGTATGTATCTCCATTTATTTTTATGCTTTTGTGCATAGGCTATTATCTGATTCCATCTTCTGAAAAATAAAGTTAAGGAAGTTTGATATTTATGATAAACTAGCTCAGTCATTTATGTGGAATAACTGATAAGTTCTGAGAATACCTAGGAACTTCAGTAGAATATGACTTTGTATTTGTGTGTCTAGTCTAAGCAGTTAAAACGAGTGTTACTTGATAGTTGCTTTTAAGTTTAATCATATGAAGGTTCTTCAGTAGAAATTTGTTTGCCTGTGCTTACCATTTTCGTCTTTATTTCTGTGAGCTCAGATCATTCATAAAAAAAATCAATACCCAGCCTTTATGTGATTTTATTTATCAGATGATCCAAGCTTAAGCTTCTATAAAACTGTCTGTTAGCTTGGCCCTTTCCAGCTTGAAGCATGTCATGGAAAATGTTATGTCCAGGAGTGAGATACAATATGAGCCTTCGACATATGGGAAGGTCTTGCTGCCACTAATGTGTCTGCACTTGTTCATCTATGTCAAATATGCTTATCTGAATTATTCTTCATTTGCAAGGATTAGAGTCTGGAAATTAAGAACTTAGAATCAAAGCATAGAATTGCTCTGTTAGACAACTAAAACCTAGCTTGCTTAACTGGAACCCAAAGGCAAAGCAATATCTTGAAATGATTGAGTGTGTTTCATTTATAACAAACCAACAGTTATTTAGCAGCTGTTACTATATAATGTTTGAAATTCAACTAAATGATACGTCCTAGTTTACAGTAGGGAGAATGCTACTGACTAGTGGGAGCTTGGCATTCTTAAGATCAAAGATCACTAGATGATGGATACCCTGCATTCTAAGACTGAATTGTCTTTCTTGTGGAAAATAAATAGATATACATGACAAATAAGTTCATATGGAAGAGGATGCATTATTGATAGGCACTAGATAGTGATAGGACAACAGTACCTACCTTTATATGTGCTTTGGATTATTTGCGTTGAGAGTATGTTCTTGATAAGTTGTTCTGTTGTTTCCATCTGTCTGAACTCCAGGGTCAGAAGTGATATCATAAATTCCCTCAAGATGGATGACCCTTACATTGCCATTGGCTCATTTGACCGTACGAATCTCTTCTATGCTGTGAAACTTCTCAGCCGGAGTTCTGAGTTCATCGAAAACCTTGTGGATGAATTTTCAAAATCACTTGGAAGGTCTGGGCCAACAATCATTTACTGCACAACCATAAAAGATGTTGAGCAGGTTCTTCTACTTGTCTTTGCTTAAAGTTGATTGTCTAAGATGCTTCTTTCTTAGGAAGTCTTACTAACCAACTCCTCAAGTATGACAAGCAACAATCACTGTACCTTTGGAATATCATCTGTCTACTAATTACCAATTCTGTTGGGCATTAGCACAATTCAAAAGGGAATGGACTCAATTTTTCATGTCCACCATGAACAAAGCACCACCTTGTCATCCTTCCGTATCTATCATGTACTCAGTTATAGTTCTTTCATGCTCGGTACAATTTCCTAGTACGTGGTTGGTAACATGAGTCTGGGAGGCAAAACAGACTTTATCTTATCAGCATCTTCCGCGATGCATGAAATGCTCTTCTCTCTTTGATGTGCCACAGAGCCCCATAGTTTCAGGTGCAGACACAACGTGACCTGCTGTTTCTTTTGCTAGTCTCAAGTGAAGTGACTTGAATACCCAAGTGAAATGGACTGACAGTTGTCGTTTTCTCCTTATGTCTGGGATTGGTGGTTGAAAAATATTTCCATTACAGTTTGTAGCTCATGGTGAATGCATTTTTTCCTTGCAAATGCAACCATGTTAACCACTCCAATGAGAGAGGGGTGTGCCTCCACCTCCATCTTTACTTTTGTTTCATTCAGCAGTAGTCTTGCGGTTTTGATACTGTAAATAACTCTGGTTCTAGTTTTTTCTCTTTGCGTTTTATTCATTCCAGGTGTTTAAAGTATTTCAAGATGCAGGGATTAAGTCTGGAATGTATCATGGCCAAATGACCAACAAAGCTAAGCAGGAGTCTCACAGGTTTTCTATACAACTATATCTGCACTTTCATTCATCCATTGTGATCAACAGATTAAGTACCCTTGTTGCTTATGACAGAATTATCCGTACTATGCTTAGCTAAGTGATTTACTTTCTCCAGATCTTTTATAAGAGATGAGTTACAAGTCATGGTTGCTACTATTGCTTTTGGAATGGGTATTGACAAGCCAAATGTAAGGCAAGTGATTCATTATAGCTGTCCAAAAAGTCTCGAGACCTATTACCAGGAAAGTGGTCGATGTGGTAGAGATGGTATAGCCTCCGTCTGTTGGCTTTACTATACCAGAAGCGACTTTGCAAGAGCTGAGTTTTACTGTGGTGAAACTAAATCAGTACGTATATTTTATGCTTCCCATGAAGAGCCAAATTATTTTTATTCGGTTGATTAGGTTATGCCAGTTTCTGACTACCGACAAGTTCTGCCTTAGCATTTATATGTTTCATCTTTATTCTTCACTTGTTGACTTAAATTTTGTTGTGAGAGATCCATTTTCAATATTATAGATCAATTGACTGCTGACAATCTTTATCAGGAGAACCAAAGAAGAGCTGTTGTGGAGTCATTGATGGCTGCTCAGCGCTATTGCACAATTACTACTTGCAGAAGAAAGTTTTTGTTGGATTACTTTGGAGAAACTTCTTCAACCACCAATTGTGGTTCGGCCTCTCTTTAGAAGTATTCTCTTTGTTAGATATATTATTCGACATTAAAGTATAGAACTTATGAGAGTTTGGTAGTAGATATAGGGTATCAACACGCCACTTGAAGTTGGCACCAGAAACTGTTAGTCTTTGTCTTGATGCAGAAATAGATTATCTATAATAAGAAAAAGAAAAAGAAATCAGGCCTGTTTTTACTCGAATAACTGCCTCAGTACAACCTGTCTTGACTGATTTGACTTATTCGAGATTAACTGAAGTCAAATTGAGTCTGATTCAAGTAATTTAACTGGAATGAGTTGGAATTGTATGAGCTCCAACTCTATCCAAATTTCAACCTTTCAAATGTCCAGCCATATCTTTAATAAGTTGAATGTACTAATTGGCTTTACTTGGACCAAAAATCATCTTAATTGAATAAAGTGCAGTTCTTGTGAATCACTGCTAAAGTTTCTCAATCCAACTTGAGGTTCAAAGTCTGTTCTCCATCATAAGACCGCTAAGATTCTTTGGTTGCAAATTTGTTGTTGGGGAATTAAGGTTTCTGAACAAAGTTTCTGAACAATCTTTGCAGGAAATTGTGATAATTGCTTGGGTTCAAAAAAGGAACATGATGTGTCTCGAGAAGCTTTCCTTTTGATGGCCTGCATTCTATCATGTAAGGGCAGCTGGGGTCTCAATATGCCTACAGACATTCTACGTGGTTCCCGCGTGAGTTATTATACGGAGATAATAGCTCATCTTGTAGACATTTTCTTTGTCTTTAATACATGTCTTGCTTCCTTACTAGTCCCTTCTCAGGAAGGAAACAGAAGAAAGAAAAGGATAATGTCCCTTCTGCCCACAACAGAAAGGAACTTATATTGATCATGCTACGTTTTATACCCTTGAAAAAGCTGGTTTCAATGCCTTTTTTGTCACTTTTGGCCAAGGCCCTTGCTGTCAATTTTGAATCGCATACTTGGGCATAATTCTTGTGATGCCAAACTTTATATCTAACTTGAGTTTTATTAGCCTCTTGTTCAATCTTTGATATCTTGCATCTATATGGCTTCTAATGCTTTAACTGCTTCAATCTTTCTAGGCTTGTAATTTATTCTTGTAATGGTCACTTGTTACAGGCAAAGAAAATTATGGACAACCAATTTCATAAGCTTCCACTTCATGGACTAGGGAAAGACCATTCAGCAAATTGGTGGAAATCTTTGGCTTATCAGTTGATTTCTCATGGTAATAATACTTTTTGTTTTACCTGATTGAACTGATGTGCTAGTATTCAGATATGACATACTCACCGTGTGCAAGCATGTAAACATGGATAAACATATATCTGTAGATAGTAGTTGAAGAATTTGTTTCTCCTACAAATATTAGGTGACTTTTATATAACGGGCAGTTAAATACTTAGGCTACATGTATTTCATGTCTATAGTCTACTGTAAATCTGTAATACCTACCATTTCTATATGTGGTTCAGATTATATTAATGGTAAAACTCTCAAATGGCTTTGTCAAGCTTGTTCAAGAACTATCAATGGTGAATTGGTGATGCATTCTTTTGTGATCATATGCCAGCCTGTAGGATATGCACATCTGTCTTATTTGTCAATGGCAACATTGGCAAATTTAAGAAAATTAAATTGTTGAAGGTCTTCCAATCAACTAGTCCTTTTCATGCAGAATCTTTGAGGCTTAGACCCCACATGGTTGCCAGGGAATTCAGTTATCAGCTGGTACAAAATTACTAGTCTCCAATCTACTTAAATAATCCTGACTGACGATTAGTTGGGCACTCTTGGAAACATATAGTTCAATTAATTTTATCTAATTCCCTATTGCATAAGATTTGTAGTTGTCTAAAATTTATTCCACGAGGGATGGTACTTGTCATGTCAGAAATTTGTTGTGTTTAGCCTAACTTTTTATTTATGTGGTTAGTAGTTCAGTTCAAGCCAGTGATCTCGTATCTGAATAATTCTGAGTCACTAATCAGTAATTCTCTTATCAAACTTCACAATGTAGGTTACCTGACTGAGGTTGTTACAGATATATATAGAACTATCAGGTATAATATATGATTTGCTTCTTAATTAAAATTTTTTTGAAGTCTTTATACTAACTCATTGTGTATGTTCTTTCTCATCCTGTTCCTCACTCTCAGTCGTTCCCTAAAATGCTTCTGTCACCTGCAATCAGAATTATTTTAAATGTCAGCTTTGAGCTGACTAAGCATGTTATGTATACGTTAGAAACTTATATAAACTCTTTATTTGTGCATCAGTGTTAGTACAAAAGGGAAGCAATATATTAGTTCTGCCAGACTTGACCATCACCCACCACTACTTCTACCATTGACAAGTGAAATGATAAACGGTGAGGAAGATCCAACCATTACTGGTGGAGACTTGAATGGTCTGGCAACCTCGGAACATGAGGGATTTTCAGAGGTTGGTAAATTGTTCCTTTTTGTTGTCTAGTTGGATTTTTGTTTTTGTCGACCATCTGTCATAATGGACTTGAGAGCACAAATAGAACTGAAATGAAAGGTGCAGTCACTTCGATTTTCTGTTTTCAGGATAAATTACTGGATAATTGGAGCATTGATACCTTCAGATTATTCTAATAAACTGTAATAGGTTTCATTGATAGCTCAAAGTTCTGAAGGAGCCGGCATCATCTCAAGAATAAACCAATCAGCTGGCCTTATTTTGTTTTTATTTCCGTGCATACTTGCAAAGTTGATGTACTGAATTTTATTCTACTAGTTCGCCATTCCCGAACTCTCGAGATTTGATTTTCACTTATCTTTAGGCTGAGTCACAACTCTACCATTCACTCTTGGAAGAGAGAACCAACCTCGCTAGAAGAGTTGGAACTGCTCCGTAAGCTTGTCTTTATCTGTTCTTCAGTAACACAAACTCTGAATGAATTGATTCATCTTAAGAGCCTTTTTCATTTTGAGTGTTTCTTATGCAGATATGCTATTTGTGGTGATCAAACAATCAAAAGACTTGCTCTGATAAGGCCGTCCACTAAAGCAAGACTAGCAAATCTGGATGGTGTCAACCAGGTATATCGTGCCAATAGGATTATGAATTATGCTGTATAAGATGTTCGATGGGTTTCCCCCCTACCCCATCCAATGAATAGTCCTATATCACTAAATAATTTATCCTCGAATCCTTGTTACTAAACGGTTCTGTAATATTTTTGTATTTGGGTGATAATATTGGCACGTAAGTACCTTATTGTCGCTGCTGCGACTTTAGGTTTCTCTATTTATCTGGCATTGATCAGTTATCTTAACTTATTTTATCCTTTAACAAAGGACAACTTTCTAATGTACAGATGCCTACTTTTGCAGCACTTTCTTATGACACATGGAGATCATTTTCTTGAGACCATCAGTCGTCTAGCAAAAGGACTAAACCTTTCTTTAGATGGGGAGGCAAACATACCAGTACCACCTACTGTTAATATCATTAGTAAAGTTGACCTGACAGCCAATTCCCAACGCAAACTAGCACCAGCTAAACTTCAAGCGTGGAAGATGTGGAGTGAAGATGGTCTATCCATTCACCAAATTGCGGTATGTCTTTTTTCGCCAAATGCATGGAAAGATATTCAATGGGAGTGTTGATGATGTGTCCTTTGTAGAGCTTCCCTGGTAGATCTGCTCCCATCAAACCGCAAACTGTTCTTGAATATCTTCTGGAAGCTGCCCAACAAGGATGTAATGTCAATTGGACCAGATTTTCCGAGGAGGTCGGGCTCACGAATGAAATTTTCATGGATATTACTCGTGCCATTTCAAAGGTTGGATCAAGGGACAAGTTGAAGCCCATTAAAGATGCATTACCTGAGGAGGTATTTTCAGTTGGTACATTTATCTTGTAAATGTATGTCTTATGCTGAGGATCCTTCATCAGAAGTTCTAATGCAGTACGTTTGATCACTTCGTTGTTTCAGATAAGTTATACCCACATCAAGACTTGTTTAGCTATGCAGAATTGTGGGATGTCCTTGGAGATGGCTCCACCCTGCATTGGTACAGCAGCAAATGATGAAGAAGCTCCACGGAAGGTTGCTGATACCAACTCCAAAACAACAGCACTCGAAGTTGGAAACTCATTGGAGGGAGAGATGAGCGTTTCTTGTGGTGATGGGCTGCCCTTGGGGAAACGTCAGAAGGTGGATGGGCCTGAACAGAGTTTAACATCACTGGTGATTGCCACAGAAGATGGCATAGTGGATTGGCTTAAAAATTATGATGATGGGGTGAGTGCAAGCAGGTCCCAGAAATTTCTTGGTGGCTTGAGAATAGCTGTTGTGAGCTTTGGCTCTTTGTTAACACCCTTTCGGTGATGCACATGCGCATTTTATACTCACTAGCAAATCATTGCAGGTTCCTATACACGATATTCTGGAGCATTTCAATGGATCTGGAGAGGAATCTGTGATTGCCATGCTCAACTGCCTCGAAGGTGACTTCGTGATATACAAAAAGAACAATGTGTATAGGATTCTGTAAGCTAAACATACGGCTTCACTGCTGAATTGAATTGTCGGGAGACTTCAATTAACGAACCATATGCAGCTTTTCAATGGCTCTAGCTATGCTACTATACCAAGTTAATGGGAAAATTTTGTTGAAATATGTTAGTGGATGGACGCTTTAAATGGGTACATATGGAATGTTGTTAAGACTGTTAGCGAAGGTAATTAGGATGATGGATTCATAAAATAAAAAAATAAAAACAGTAATTAGGATTATGGATTTCAAAATCCAAGGGTGTGAGTCCTCTTTAGAATTTCTTTTACCAAGATATATCAGGATGACAATGGATGGGTTTTGGGGCGGATTTTTCTAAATTAATCTAATCATCATTTTCAAATACTCAAACCTATACTCGCAACCCCATCCTCGTACAAGCGATTTTCAGATACTCATGGATAATATTCGCCCTGTATATATACCTAAAATCCAACAGGTTGATCTTCAATTATAAGACTCATGTCTATTAAATCAAGAACTTTAGAAAGATACAACTTTTTTTAAGGGTAATGTTTATTTTTTATCCAAACCTTTTTTAGATTCTTTTATATCATCCAAACCTATTAAAATGCTATTAATTAGTCAAATTTTTCGTAATGCATCAAAATATTAGCCATTTTTATGTTATTGTTAATAATTTATTTTCTTAGTTAAAATAATAAAATTTTGGAATGTTGATCTTCATGTGTCTTTTCCAAGTCAGTATCATGTTGCCAAGTCAATATTACTAACAAAATTGCTAACTGAAAGTTAACATTTGGCTAATTCTTAGTATTTCGATAGGTTTAGCTAATAAAAAAGAAACCAAAAAAGGTTTGGCTAATAAATAGTCATTACTTTTTTTAATATGAACTCAAAGCATCCAATCATAAGACATCCCACAAGACAAAGTTCAATACTATCTGAATCATTCATCTTCGACTCTCACACATCTATTCAAATTATTTAACATTATTATACCTAATATAATATTGTTAACAAAGTAAAATGAGGTGCAAAGTTGAAGGGCGAATTGATGGAAAGAAACAAGGGTTGGGTTCGGATTACCACGCAACTACATTCCCATTTTTCAATTACATTCCCATTTTTTAATATATGAGCAAATATTCTTGATGGGGCGGGGTATGATTATGTGGCAAAGGAGGCTAAACTCACATCCGCCCCATCCCCATCAAACTTTTTACAGGTTTTACCCATAACCGTCTCATACCAAGTTAATGTTGGAATCCCCTACGTTGACTGAGTTGAGGATAGGTACTACCAATCGTGGGTTTGTTATAGAAACCAATTTTGGTTTGGTTTCTATTATTATTATTATTATTATTATTATTATTATATTAGGATAATTAATTTTTTAGTCCTAGTAGGTTAATTGTTAGGGTTTTCTATTTCTTTTCATATATATATGTACGTTGTTATTCATCTGTTCAATCAATAAAAAATCAATTAAGAAAATTATCTCTCCCTAAACCCTATCTCTCTCAATCTCGTCTTCTACTCTACCTAGGCCGTAAGTCATTCTTTCTGTTCTTCCCCAAATTCTCAACCTCTATCCCTAATCTCTTCTAAATCCTTAAATATCCATCAATTCTCAATTTCCCAACCCGATCGATAGATCCCTAAAAATAGGTTTCTATCATTTGATATCAGAGCCCGATTGCGAATACAGATTCATCACAACTCTTAACCGTAGACAAGGTCTACGTTTCTGATTCAATTGAATCTCCATCCTTCGATCAATAAGTCCATAACCCTTCTCCCTACCAACACCCGACACCCACTTTCCTATAATCCTCTTTCCATACTCCCAAACCTAGACATAGTAAACCCAACTATTTGGCTTACGTTACGGTCAGTAACCTCTATTTACTCGCCTATGAGTAACCATATCCAGACCTTTCATTTTAACTGGGCCCAGAAAATTCAGATCTAAAGGTTATGAATTAAAGGCATTTTATTTTCACTTGTTTTATTAATCGGCTCTTATCTTCTTCATTCTAACTCGGATTTTTTTTTTGTTGCAAAAATGGAACGAGTTCGTTGTGCTCTAACAAATGTGATAAATTTTCAATATTTTTTTGAGAAATTTGTTTTCATACCTCCTATTACCAACTCCATATCATATGATAACTTCTTCATTCTTAAAGTCATTTTTGAAAATATTTGCTCAGAAGGAACGAGTTCATCATGATTTATTGGATCTACAAATTTCTGGGTGAAAAAAATACAGGAACATAAGTCACCATACTTTACTACCCTGGTATGGGGGTGGTAACTTGTGGTAAACAATGATGAAAGTCGTAAATGACAGTTAGTATACTCCTACTATCATGTATTCAACATTCCTACAGTCTTGATATGTTCATACCATCATGGTACGTTTTCTTACCATATGGTATGTTCCTATTTAATACCATATGATATTAACTGGTTATTAATGCCTCATTTTTAAAAAAAAAATATATCAAAGTGGATATAATTTTAAAGAGCACAATTAATATGATTTATCTGTGCAAAAAAAAAATTAAATTTCGACTTAAAACGAGAGAGAAATCTTTCATTAAAGATTAGGGGGAAAAGATAAAAGACTTTCCATTAGAGAGAGTAATGCTGATGTCACGCTGATGTGTACGGGTTATTCTCTACTTCTGTGCTCGAGTGCACAAGGAAAAGGATTTGATATTCCTTATTTTACCGGCAATAAATCGTGTAGGGAATAGCTTCCCTTAAGCAAAGCCTCGCCGCAGAAACGTCATCTCTAGCAAGCTTTTGGAGTCCACCGCAACAACCTTCGATGGCAATCAACTCTCTCGACGCCCTTCCCGTGGCGATGGTGGCAGTTGAGGCCACCCTCACTCAAGCCATCTCTCACCACTTCTCGGAAATCCATGCGATGATTGCGAACCTTGCCAAGTCCACCACCGCCAAATACCACGCCCTTGAGAAGAGGGTTGAAGCACTCGAGCGGCTTCCGGCGACGACTGCGACAACGAAAGAAGTGCCAATCGTTGGATCACCACCAATGACGGATAAGGAGATGTCAAAGGCTGCCTTCTGTTATGGAAAAAAAACATTTAAAAAAAGAATGTTTCTTGCCACACAAGACATATATAGAAATCGACACATGCATAAACAACGCCCGAGCCAATAGAATTCACTATTTCTCCTTAAGGAATTTAGTTCCCCTCTACGGTACCCAAGGTTATTGGAACTATTCCTCCCAGGATAGAACGGACGTACCTTTTCTGGCTGTACCGGTACTTGAAACACCAGAATCCGACGAACGCAACGATCGGAGAGAAGTCACACGGCTCTGTTTTTTCTTTATGAGTTTGTAGAGAGGAAATGCAATGAAGAATGAAAAATTCTTTTATCTTTTGGCCAGAAAAATTTCTTGGGATACTAACTTGTCTAGAAAACAGAGGGGGGCAGGTGTTTATTTATAGACAATGAAGGGGTGCGAGTGAAGGGATGTGACCCTTCAAGTGGGTGGTTACACCCCAACCATTGCATCGGTTCGCCATAGTAGTTGGACCGGTTGGTTCATTCCAACCGCCACATTGGTCCGATCCGATTTGGTTCAACTTGGTTTAACCAATAACTCACCAACTATTGGCTTCTTCCCATTTTCATTCTCATTCACACCTTTCAAATCCCAACAATCCCCCACATGAAAGAGAATGCTAAGTTTTGAAAACTATGCAAAAAACTGTGTGACTCTCAACTAAGAATTAGTTGTATTAGGATAGGTGGGTTTCCCTTTGAACCTTCCCTAGTGAACATATATCGAGTATACTCACCAATCGGTAGATATGATATCTTTGAACCGTCGGTTTTCTTGTATACTAAAACAACATATGTCACACAACCAACTCTTATCCGCTCGTTGGTTCTCATTGTTGTGTTTCGTTTCAGCCATGAACACCGCCTGGTTTCATGAATGCGTAGAGAATTGGCCTTCTTTTATTCTCCTTGAAGCGGCTCCACTTCACACTCACATAGGTGATTTCTAAACATGTATTCCGAAAATACACTATTTGATCACAACACGTGTCAAACTTTGAAACCATTAAAAACCTTTCATATTTAGGTTTACCCTTATATTTTGGACATTGTCTCATCATGAGAATGGACTTTAAATAATTTGACAATGTCGGACCATCATTCACAACTTTGTTTGCTCCTTGAACCTAGAGGTTGGGTCTGCCAATCCTACTTAGGTAGAGTTACCGCCATGATGATTTGTCATAGGCCACAGTCCCATTCCCCTCGATGACTTCTCAACTAATGCTCTAGTTAGGCCTTTAGTTAACGGATCCGACACGTTATCTTTTGATCTTACATAATCAATCGAGATAACTCCACTAGAGATTAATTGCCTCACTGTGTTATGTCGTCGACATATGTGACGAGACTTTCCATTATACATAACACTTTTTGCCCTTCCAATAGTCGCTTGACTATCACAATGTATGCTTATTGGGGTTAACGGCTTGGGCCAAAACGGAACATCTTCCAAGAAGCTCCGAAGCCATTCTGCTTCTTCACCGGCTAAGTCCAAAGCTATGAACTCCGATTCCATTGTGGATCGGGCAATACAAGTCTGCTTGGAGGATCTCCAAGATACTGCTCCCCCACCAACCGTAAATACATATCCGCTAGTGGATTTGATTTCGGTTGAGCCGGTGATCCAATTTGCATCACAATATCCTTCAAGTACTGCCGGATAATTTTTGTAGTGCAAAGCGAAATCTTTGGTATGTTGTAAATACCCCAAAACACGCCGCATTGCCATCCAATGCGTGTTATTTGGATTACGTTGATATCGACTCAATTTACTTATTGCGCAAGCAATATCTGGTCGAGTACTATTCATGATGTACATTAGACATCCCAAAACTCGTGCGTAATCCTCTTGAGATTCACTTTTACCTCCGTTCTTTGTAAGAACAAGGTTTGGATCAATCGGCGTGTGC